GAGGAGGAGGAGGAGGAGGAGGAGGATTTTTTTTGCATGGGACCATGCTGCAGCCCACATACACCACTCAGGGTGGGCGAGGCCCTGAGGGACATCAGTAAACTGAGCCGTGACCGATCGAACTGACAACGAACGGAACGGACCAGCGAGTGTGCCTTGCACTGTGCAAACAGGGCATAGCACTCAGAGATGGCAAAACGTGCTTAAATCGACGGAGACCCCACTCTTTTTTGGATGGAGTCCCTTTTTCAACTTAATCCACGGATTGCTGTGTGTGGCCACCTTGTCTGGCTCACACTTCTTATCGAGGTTCCGCAATTGGCCCCCCGACGTCATATAACCGCACTTGTGGCAAATACAAATAAAGGACCCGTCCTCGAGCTGGCCCCTAGTCGGCCAACAGCTCTGGCAACAGCAACATCGCGATCAAGGCCCTCGAGATCGGCGGACGACGGCAAAGGATGCAAGAGTACCGCTTCCTTGGCCGTCTTATCAGCCCAATCGTTGCCTTGTCGTAAATAACGATCCCGATCAAGGAGGAGGAGGAGGAGGAGGAGGAGGAGGAGGAGGAGGAGGGGAGGAGGAGGAGGAGGACGGGAGGAGGAGGAGGAGGAGGAGGAGGAGGAAGGAGGAGGAGGAGGAGGAGGAGGAGGAGGAGGAGGAGGAGGAGGAGGGGAGGAGGCGGGGAGGAGGAGGAGGAGGATGAGGAGGGAGGAGGAGGAGGAGGAGGAGGATGAGGAGGAGGAGGAGGAGGAGGAGGAGGAGGAGGAGGAGGAGGAGGAGGGAGGAGGAGGAGGAGGAGGAGGAGGAGGAGGAGGAGGAGGAGGAGGAAGGGAGTGCGGGTCGCATCGGGAGCGCCGGGAGCGGATCGGGAGCGCAGGAGAGGGGACTCCTCCGGCCTCGGCGAGCCTCACGAATGGACTCCGCGGCGCCCCAACGAGTGCGAACGGCCCGACGACCAGAGGCCCCACCCGTGGAACCCCAAGGCAGCGTCAGTCGGCATCGAGTCGGAAGCCGGATCGAGCCAGAACGTGCTTGGGTTCGAGCTGCATCGGCACGGAGTCGAGATCAAACAGTACCGGCAACGTCAGGACGTACAGCAGCGCCATGCAGGCATCGGGCCGCATCGGATCGTCGGGCAATCGGAACCAAATCGGGCCCAGCCAGCCTGAACCGATAGCGAATCGAATCGACCAGAGGGAGACGGACCCTGCGACGATGGCCTGGCCTCCTCCACGTCGGTGAGGTACGTCATGAACGTGAGGACGCGGGGACCGCAGTTGTCGAAGTACGCGGCCGCGTACTCCCGATCGACGAGGTCGTGATGCCTCGTCGAGGCGGTGCGCGGAGAAAGCGCGAGGGTGGAGGGTGGCAAGGGCAGCATGAAGCGAGGGCGGAGCCAACCTGGGGAACTGGCAGTTTCAACCGCCCAGCCTCTCACCGTTTAGCTGCATTTACTGTCTTGCGTGATCCCTCTCGACTCTCCTTGTTATCTCGCCATGTCCCCCATCTCATCCCTGCGCTTCCGCTGCCGTCTAGGGCCCTTGAGCCAGGGCGCGCCCCGGACCGGGGGCACAAGACATGCCTCCGAACAGCGACCTCGATCCGATCCCAAGCGATCCACGATCGACAGGCGGAAGCTCGAGAACAGCGGGCCGCGCCCCTGGTGTCCTCCGCCGGCGCGCCCTGGCTCGAGCATGCAGAAGGCGTGGGGGCTGGCGCGCGCCGCGCCGGGCCCGGGCCCGAGAAGGGCCCGCGAGGAGTGCCGGGATGGGCGCTCGTTGGCGCGGCCTGGCGAGGGAAAGAGGGCCTCGACTCGGACCATCCCCGGCATTCCTCCTGCGTGAGATATGGCAGACGATGCTGCAGAGGAGGAGGAGGAGGAGGAGGAGGAGGAGGACGAGGAGGAGGAGGAAGAGAAGGAGGAGGAGGAGAGGCGGAGGAGGAGGAGGAGGGAGGTGGGAGGGAGGAGGGAAGGAGAGGAGGAGGAGGAGGAGGAGGGGGGAGGAGGGAGGGGAAGGAGGAGGAGGAGGAGGAGGAGGAGAGAGGAGGAGGAGGAGGAGGCAGGAAGGAGGAGGAGGAGGAGGAGGGCGCCCTGGAGGAGCCCGGGCCCCCCTCCATGGGAGGCCTCGTGAGGGGAGGCCCGCCACCCCGCCGTTGCCGGGCGGCCCCGCAGGGGCCAGGGCGAGAGGGGGGGCGGGGCAGCACAAGGGCGAGGAAGAGGGGCTCCCAGGGAAAGGGCGGAGGGTGAGCCTCGTGTCGCCGACCCCCCCGCCCCCCCCCCCCTCCCCCTCCCCCCCTCCTCCTCTCCTCCCTACCTCCTCCTCCTCCTACTCCTCCCTCCTCCCTCCTCCTCCTCCTCCTCCTCCTCCTCATCCTCCTCCTCCCTCCCTTTTCCTCCTCCTTTCCTCTCCTCCTCTCCTCCCTCCTCCTTTCTTCTGTCCTGGATTCCCTCTCCTCCTCCTCCTTCCTCCTCCTCCTCCTCCTCATCCCTCATCCCCCTCCCCTCCCCCTCCCCCTCCCCCTCCTCGGGGCACACATGGACATACTTACGGTGGGGGGCAACTGGCCATGGACATCACCGCCGCCCTCATCAGAGAAGGAGCCCTGCAGGATCTGAAGCCTCCTGGGCACATTCCTTCATGAACGCCCCCACCGTAGTACTCGATGTCCTCCTTGGAGGCGTGCATCCGACCCGAACATACAGCACAGCGATCTTGTAGTGTACAATGTCCCGAGCGGGAAGGCCAGAACGCGCCCGCCACGAGGCACATACTGGAAGAGTTCTCGGAGCGCGATTCGCCCCTTGGGGGGGCGACGCCCACATAGCGGGAGCATGTTGGGGCGACGCCGACCCCATCCCCATGGGCGCGGCCTGAGCCCCGCTGGCCGATTTACGCCCCTGGCTGGGGATGTAGGTCGAGTCCTTCGGGTCTCGAGGGCGTATCCCCAACTGGGGTGGCGAGATGGTACCCATCACGCACACACACACACACACACACACACCAGCACCATCGGCCACAGAAACAACGAGCCTCTGGAGTGAGACGGCGCCAGCAGAAGCCCGCATAAATCACCACGAGGGACGGTCTGCTCTCGCCCGGGAAGACGTCCAGAAACACTGGCACGAACGATGGGGGGATCGCACGATGCCGCGGCAACTGCAACAGCCCCGACCCGACGACAAGAGGGCCCACGAGCGCCGGGCCCCGTGGACGCATCATCGAAAACGATACTTGGAGGATCAGCAGTGCCGACCCCAAAACGCGGCATCACCCAATTCGAGAGACTCACTCCTAAGAACTTCCCACGAGGGCCCGGAGCTTGCCGGGGGCACCGCCGCCCACACTCGAGGCAGGGGCCCTCGAAGCCAAAAGCATGATTCGGCCTCTCCCCTAGCCGCACCAGCTGGGACGAGGCCGTCTGACTGCTAGAATGCCTCGCGCTCGCTGCTGTCGCAGTGGCAAAAACAAGCTCGATGAAGAGCTGCCTCGGGCTGCCGTCTACACCGTGCAAACGAAGGACCAACTCGGCGTCAAACAAACAAACAAAACAACGCCCTGAACGAGCGTGCGAGGAGCAAGACAACTCTGACGTCAAGAGCGAGAACCGCGGCAGAAAAATGAAGACGAAAAGATGCGTCGACCGAAGACTCATGCCACCGAGTCGTAAAAATCCTGGACGTCGGTCAGACCAGTGCCAAAATCTATACCCACTCCACAACATGCTTGGTCTTGCAAAAAGCGAACGGAAGCTTCGCGCAGAGCAGAGTTGCCCCTGGCGGTCGCACCTGACGCCGGCTCCCAGGAGGAGGTCCAAGCGCGCACATCTTCTTCACGAACTAATGACCACGCTCTGTCAAGCACGGCCATCAGCCCGATCACCCCGCCGCCCCCAGACCTCATCCCCCAAGGCCTAGCGACCGCGAGCTGAATTCGCCAGGGCCGCGCGAATCTCGCCTCGCACGCTCGCAAGGGCAGCACCAGTCGAGACGGCCCTTCGCGTGGAAGCCGCTGCATATCAATAGGAAACACCCGATCGACCCCTTAACCTGCGCGGCCTTTCACGCTCTCAAGAGCGCCCCCCACGGCATAGCAAGTAAGCTCTGGAAGCTGCTTCCAGCTGCGGCGCGAATCCTGTCGCACAACTGACATGCAAAGTCATGGGATGCTGCACCAGGGCTCCAAAGGCGTTGCCGATGGCTGGAATTCCGGCCCACGACATCCTCAGGGCGGGCTGAGAACGAGTTCCCCACCGAACACCATCTCAGGTGAGGGGGGCGGGGAGGGTTTCAAGGTGTTGCGGAAAATGCCGCGGGCTGGGGGGGGGGGGGCGGAGACAAATCGATTCACGAAAACCACCTAGCGAGCTTCGGGGCACCCGTCGCCTGGCTCGCGCTGCCACGCGCCCAGCCACAGAACAGAACTGCCGAAGTGATTCTGCATCGAGCGACTACGCGTGCACCAGCTGCGATTGCCACAGCGCCAAGGCGCCGTCGATGGGATCCAACGAAGCAGAAGACACGTCAACGGACTCCAGAACGTCGCCCGCGGGGGCTGAGCAAGCTGCTACGAGGCAGACCCGCCGATCTTCCCCGATCCCTTTAACACCATCAACAACACGATAGAAAAGATTATGAGGCACCGCCTGGACCGCCCCCCACACCACCACCACCACCACCACCACCACCAGCAAGCCACCAGCAAGCCACCAGCAAGCCACCTGCCCACGAAGCGGTTCCGAACGAAGCTTGTCTAGCACGTGCATCTCAATATCTCTGAGGCGCGGACCGTCGGCGCGAAGACGACACGGGGCGGCGTGCCCATGATGCAACGTCGCGGCCACGCCCATGATGCGCGCCCGCCCGACATGAAATGCAACGGACTGAAGTGCTACTGGCCAGACCTCCCGGCGATCACCCACTGGCACGCAGCCGATCTCGCGCGCGGCTCTCCCAGGTCGGGCCAGGCATGGCGAACGTAGGTTGGGAAGGGGAGGGACTGGAAAGGGACTGACTGCCCAGGGAACTGCCGCGGTCGCTGGGCCCCTCGCAAGAAGACTGGGCGAGGGAGAGGAGGGGCCTCAGGGACACCACCTTCACCGGCCGAGTCGCCAGGAAATGACTGCGCCTGCGCAGCCGCTTGGCCGCAAGCGTCGTTGTCAAATGCCCGCCGAGCTCCTGGCGCTGCGCTTCTACTCAGCCTTGCGTGGCCAGCCGACGGGCGCCAGCAGCCTCGCGATTCTGACTGGACTTAGAAACGACTTGTGGTGCCACCTGAGGCCTCGGAGCCTGTCGGGGCCTGAGGGGGCTTGGGGGCCGCGCGAGGTTCTCTGCGCAGCAACTGCTGAAAGGAACTGCGCCGCCAGGGCACATCAAGGCGAGCTTCGATCCGAGAAATGCACGGGACGCTGTCCCTGCTGGCAAGCGCATAGTCAAGGTAAGTGCATGAGCCGAGCGAGCAGGCGCATTGCAGCGGACACCTGCACATCACTCCATCTACTTTGTCAACGAAGCCTACGCGCTGAAGCACTTCCAAAGAAAACCCAATCGCCAACGACAATCCACGTGAGACGACACTGCTGGAGCAACGCACCAAGCCGAGCGAATCGAGGGAGGTTCCGACCACGGAAGCCTTCGCCTGAGTAGGCATGAAAACTTATCGCTACAAACAAATATCCTTTCTAATCCCACCAGCCCTTTAGGGCGTAGGTGGTCTAGGGAGTTTCCTCTGCCAACCCCCTTCTTCCCCTTCGGGGAGGGGTTTACCCCTCCCCTTACCCCTCCCCACTGACCTGGACGGGGCCGGTCGCGAGGTGTCAGAGCGTCCAAGATGGCCCAAGACAGCTCCAAGAGCGAACAGGCGAGAAAACACAAAACATTGATTTTACCTAGGTTTTGGAAGGATTTTGGCATCTTGGGGGGCCCAAGAGGCGACTCGAGGCACTCTGGAGGGGCGGGGCTAATAAGCAACCCCCCTTCTTTGATAGATCTCCTCCAAGATGGCCCAAAGAGCGCCCCGAAGGCTCCCAAGAGCGCCCCAAGAGCGCCTCAAGAGGGCCCCAAGAGACCCCAAGAGGCCCCCAAGAAGCCTCCAAGACGTTGCCAAGAGACCCCCAAGAGGCCCCAAGAGAGTCCAAGATGACCCAAGACGGCTCCAAGAGCGAAAAGGCGAGAAAGCAACAAACATTGATTTTACCTAGGTTTTGGAAGGATTTTGGCCTCTTGGGGCGCCCAAGAGGCGACTCGAGGCACTCTAGAGGGGCAACGCTAATTGGGGACCCCCTCTTCTCTGATCGATCTCCTCCAAGATGGCCCCAAGAGCGCCCC